CTTTATGGATTTTGCTAGGAAGACTACCAAAGCGGCCCGTGGATATAAACGTGACACTCCATATATATACGCTTAATACTATGTTACTTGATATATGTTTTTTTAGATATACCTTCAGTCCAAACTTATAAGCTTAGTATGTGTATTAGTTAGCCTATATACTTAAGTATTTGTTTTTTGAGTTTTCGCTTTAATATCTTTTTTCATTCCTATATGATTATTGTATTTTTAGTTAGTATATTTGATGCTCATATAGCGGCCCGTGGATATAAAAGTGACACTTACACTTGAAAAAAATCCAAAATATTTGGAAACCTAGAAGCGAAGCTGAACCTCAACAGGTCGTGGACGTAATGCCACTCCACTGCTTACAGTACCTTCGTTCACACATGTCTTCTACATTGGGTTACCTATGAAGCGGACCTTTTGAGTATGATTATTCGTATCGGTCCAACATCACGTGCATCACTTTCTAGATGGGCTTCTGGCTTAAGAGGCTTTCAGCCATTATCCCAGACGGCGTAGCTGCGCGACATACCGTTTCCGATAATCGCTAACCAGAGGCCATAATCAACAGTTCTCTCGTACTAAATCAATCTACTATCATGATGCTATATCCAGTAGGATAAAACAAACCTGGCTCACGACGGTCTAAACCAGCTCACGATCCCTAATACGGGTGAACAATCCGACCCTTAGCAACTTGTACATCACTAGGATAGGAAGAGCCGACATCGAAGAATCAAAAAGCTGCGTTGATTTGATCTCTTAGCAGCCACAAGCCAGTTGTCCCGGAGGTAACTTGTCTGTCACCCAATCCTCACGCACCTGAGGCTATTTAGGGATCGTTAGGCCTTACTTTCGTAAACTGCATTCCTAGTACAAAAAGGCACAGTAAATTGAGCTTTTGGCCTTTATCCTCAACGTGAGATTTCTGTCCTCACTGAGCTCAACTTAGGTACACCTCGCTGCTCTTTCTAAGAGTGTGCCTGCCCCAGCCAAATCTATCTATCTATTCCTTGTGATAGGTACACATAATTTCCAAACAGGGGTAGTGGTTTTTCAGAATCTTTGTTGCTCTCCACCTAGTCTACACCCGCAGGAACTATACAAGACTACCTAAAGTCTTACAGGTCTTCTTTCCCCGCTGGATATTAGTGCCGTGCCCACTACAGTTGGGCTGAGATGGAGTTCAGTTAGAACCATAGTCCTCTGCGTCATGCAGGTCACTAATTAAGTGACGAGGTATTTCGCTACTTTGATAGAGTCATAGTTACGCCCAGCTATTTACCGGTGCTGTGTGATATTAACAGTACAAGCATGCGGATTCATGTCGCGTCCACTGATATACTACCACAGCGCGACACTACGTTTTTATTAAACAGTTGGGCTCTCCGCGTAACAAGGTTCAAATTTTCATCAGAGCCAAGCTGTATCCGAAACAAGCTCTAATTGCCGACCTGAAATATCCTCATTTATGGACCGATAGGCTACTTACCCTAGAAGACCTGATGCGGTTATCGGTACAGGTGACCACACGATGAAACTATTTTTCGCGTTCATAGCAGTACCAATCCAATAGCCATACGATTAACCTAGAGAGCTATGTTTTCAGGCACGACGCCGCAAGTTGCAGCCTGATACCTACCTGTCCTTATCTCAGCTAACCTTTCATGTAAAATATGAACTATCAACGGTATAAGATGGCGTAGAACAAAATAGTATGCGTGGCTCGCGAACTGTTGTTCAGTTAAGAATTAACTGATCCCTCCCATATGATACTTACGATCCGACAACCTGATCGTAAGTTTCAGAATATATCAGGCTAGTAATCCTCCTGTTTGTGAGAGAGATCTGTCGGTATTTACTTAAACAGATCCAGAGTTAGTCGATCCTAATCTCAATAATGGGAGAAAGGGTACAGTTGATATTCTTATAACTACAAAACGCATACTATTTTTCTCCGCCAATCTTATACCGTTGGTAGGGATCTCTTTCCTACATGACAGTACTAATACCCAGGGAAACTGGTCATCAGGCGAACTGCGGCGTTCTGCTGGCAAAACATAGCTTTTTCAATGGCTATTGGATTGGTCCATGAAGCGAAAAATAGTTTACTGTGTCACTCGTACCGATAACCGCATCAGGTCTTCTAGGTAAGTAGCCTATGGCCATTGAGGCATGATAGTTCAGGGAATTCGGCCAATTAGAGCTGTAACTTCGGGATAAAGCTTGGCTCTGATGAAAATCAGAACCGATTGTTACGCGGAGAGCCCAACTGTTTAATAAAAACGTAGTGTCGCGCTGTGGTAGTATAGCCAGTGAACGCGACATGAATCCTGCTCAGTGCTGTGTCTGTTAATATGGTTCAAGCCAACGAAGCACCGGTAAATAGCTGGTACTATGATCTTATCAAAGTAGCGAAATACCTCGTCACTTAATTAGTGACCTGCATGTAGAGCGTTCTCACTGTCCCAAACTGTCTCTCAGCGAACCAACTGTAGTGGGAACGGTCACTAGATATCCAGCGGGGAAAAGGACCCTGTAGAGCTTCACTTTGGTCTAGTCTTGTATAGTTCTGCGGGGGTGTAGACTAGGTGGGAGAGCAATCGATTCTGAAAAACCACTACCCTGTTTGGAATTATGCTTACCTATCACAAGGAATAGGACTAGATAGAAAGTTTTGGCTGGGGCGGCACACCTTCGAAAGAGCAGCGAAGGTGTCCTAAGTTGAGCTCAGTGAGGACAGAAATCTCACGTTGAGGATAAGGCCAAAAGCTCAATTTACTGTGCCTTTTTTGTACTAGACATAGTAACTAACCAATAAACAAGTGTGTCGCGTGTGACGTCCTCCAATATGTGCTAGAGATCAATATACGCAGCTTTTTGATTCTTCGATGTCGGCTCTTCCTATCCTAGTGATGTACAAGTTGCTAAGGGTCGGATTGTTCACCCGTATTAGGGATCGTGAGCTGGGTTTAGACCGTCGTGAGCCAGGTTTGTTTTATCCTACTGGATATAGCATCATGATAGTAGATTGATTTAGTACGAAGGAACTGTTGATTATGGCCTCTGGTTAGCGATTATCGGAAACGGTATGTCGCGCAGCTACGCCGTCTGGGATAATGGCTGAAAGCCTCTTAAGCCAGAAGCCCATCTAGAAAGTGATGCACGTGATGTTGGACCGATACGAATAATCATACTCAAAAGGTCCGCTTCATAGGTAACCCAATGTAGAAGACATTGTGTGAACGAAGTTGTAGCAGTGGAGTGGCATTACGTCCACGACCTGTTTCAGCTTCGCTTCTTCTTAATATTTTGGATTTTTTTCAAGTGTAAGTGTCACTTTTATATCCACGGGCCGCTATATGAGCATCAAATATATAACTAAAAATACAATAATCATATAGGAATAAAAAAGATATTAAAGCGAAAACTCAAAAAACAAATACTTAAGTATATAGGCTAACTAATACACATACTAAGCTTATAAGTTTGGACTGAAGGTTATCTAAAAAAAACATATATCAAGTAACATAGTATTAAGCGTATATATATGGAGTGTCACGTTTATATCCACGGGCCGCTTTGGTAGTCTTCCTAGCAAAATCCATAAAGTCGAAGGGAAACTAATCTAAGTCTCCTATCAAAGTCTATCAAAAATTTTTAAGATGATAGGACGAAAAACTATTGTGATTTAGTTTCGTCGGTAAAACCAAAAATTCGCCCTAAAGATATACGTAAGATATATACTATTCCCTATAACTAGATATATTATACATATAACATATATGATTAGTGCTTCGTATAACATTACAATAGATTTGAAAAAATCGATTTTCAAAAATTTGACACAAAATGCATTATATCTCAGTGAATACTTAAGCTATCGAAATGAAACAAACATAAATCACACAGCTATACTATACCCTATCTATCTGTATCTTCAAAGTTTTTGTGCACTTAAGTCTCACTGTTTCGATTTATGCGTGTGGAACGAAAAATTAAAAAAATCGAAAAAAATCAAAGTCCATGATCAGCGAGAAAATTTTTAACAACTAAGCAATTTTTAAAATCTTTTACATATAAATACCATACGATATATGTATACATTTGAGCATGGTGAGACATCTCAGTTCCATAGTCACTCCATATGAAAATGAAAAAATTTACAATTTTTTCCTAGGGGGGTGAATTTACCTAGAAGTCCACACACATAAGAGATGGAAAGGAGCAACTGAGGATAAAGTTATCGTATGTTGTACCCCATATATGTCTATCTTGCAAGAAAGTTCGTATGTTGATATTCGCCGAGAAAGTTGAAAATACAAAAAAATTGATTTTCAAAAACACGCTGAAATGAGCGAGGGAAAAAAATAATGAAAAGATTGAAGTCATATTCGATGGTTTTAAGAGATACGAAATTATTTTGGAAATATAATATCTACACATAAGTAGTATAATGTTACTACGTTTGTAGTTTTTCGTTTTAGCACACTTTACCATATACTTTTGAAAATCAGATAATTATTTTTTATTCAAATAGTTGTCGTAGGTGGGCACATGTACGGAGTTATAATCATAACTCCCCATGCTCCACAACATTGCCCATACAAAGTTTGCTCGGGGACGCTTGTGTATGAGCAAGACGAAAAAATACCTGAAACTCGACTCCACCGATTGAATTTTTGTAGACCGAAAAACATGACCTTTTGCTCCCTATGGGAAAGTTGCAAAACGATTCCAGTTATGAGTAAGCATTTCTTACTAAATCTAGCCGGTCTGGTATATAACAACAGGGAGAATCACCTCCAACGGCTGACGAGTTAATATGTTACATATTTGATTCTGTCTTAGATGTGCGAAATTACAGCACGCGCTTATTTATAATTTGGCATTAAACTTTCGATGACTTCGCGTCATCATGTATTATGGATTTTCAGTGGCATCATAACAAGATACATTGGAAAAACATCTTAATACATCTTTTTTAATCGCGATACTTGGTTGATCCTGCCAAGGAAGCACACTTAGGTCATAGATTAAGCATGCAAGTGTTAGTTCAGGTAACGAAACTGCGAATAGCTCATTAATACGCTCAGAATCTATTTGGCGGCGACCAACAGGTCTTAAATGGATAGCAGCAGCAACTCTGGTGCTAATACATGCGATTGTTTCTCCAGATGTGAATTATGGAGGAAAAGTTGACCTCATCAGAGGCACGCCATTCGACTGAGTGACCTATCAGCTTGTACTTAGGGTCTTTACTAGGTAGGCTATCACGGGTAACGGGCGGTTACCGTCGGACTGCCGGAGAAGGCGCCTGAGAGATAGCGACTATATCCACGGGTAGCAGCAGGCGCGAAACTTTCCCACTCGAGACTTTCGGAGGAGGTAATGACCAGTTCCATTGGTGCCTTTTGTACTGTGGATAGGGGTACGGTTTTCCACCGTACCGAACCTAGCAGAGGGCCAGCTGGTGCCAGCAGCTGCGGTAATTCCAGCTCTGCGAGTTTGCTCCCATATTGTTGCAGTTAAAACGCCCGTAGTCTGAATTGGCCAGCAATGGTCGTACGTATTTTTACGTTCACTGTGAACAAATCAGGACGCTTAGAGTATGCCACATGAATGACTCAGCCAGTATGAAGTCTTTGTTTTCTTCCGAAAACAAGCTCAATGAGAGCCATCGGGGGTAGATCTATCTCATGACGAGTGGTGGAATACTTTGACTCATGAGAGAGAAGCTGAGGCGAAGGCGTCTACCTAGAGGGTTTCTGTCGATCAAGGGCGAGAGTAGGAGTATCCAACAGGATTAGAGACCCTGGTAGTTCCTACCTTAAACGATGCCGACAGGAGTTTGTCATTTGTTAATGGCAGAATCTTTGGAGAAATCATAGTTCTTGGCTCTGGGGAACTACGACCGCAAGGCTGAAACTTGAAGGAATGACGGAAGGGCACACAGGGGTGGAGCCTGGCTTAATTGAATCACAGGGAAACTTACCAGGACCAGATGTTTTTATGATGACAGGCTTCGGGTCTTTCAGGATATTGTTTTTGGTGGTGCATGGCCGTTGGTGGTGCGTGGGTTGACCTGTCTAGCGTTGATTCAGCTAACGAGCGAGATTATCGCCAATTATTTACTTTGCCGAAGTCCTTCGGTTAAAGTTCTAATTGGGACTCCCTGCGATTTTAGCAGGTGGAAGAGGTAGCAATAACAGGTCCGTGATGCCCTTTAGATGCTCTGGGCTGCACGCGTGCTACAATGTTAGGATCAATAGGACTGAGCCTGAGAGGGTGCGCTACTCTTATAATCCCTAACGTAGTTGGGATTGACGTTTGTAATCAGCGTCATGAACCAGGAATCCCTTGTAAATGTGTGTCAACAACGCACGTTGAATACGTCCCTGCCTTTGTACACACCGCCCGTCGCTCCTACCGATTGGATGACTCGTGAAATCATGCTTACGAGCAGAAAGTGATTAAATCACGTTATCTAGAGGAAGGAGAAGTCGTAACAAGGTAACGGTAGGTGAACCTGCCGTTGGATCAGTTCTAGTTTTAATAACTAACACCAACTTCTTTTATTAAACAAAAACCAATACAAAATTAAAAACTAACTTCATCAAAAACCAAGTCTCTAAGCAATGGATGTCTTGGCTCCTCACACGATGAAGAACGTGGCATAATGTGTTAAGTAACCGGAGTTGCAAACATCATGACAGGTTAATCTTTGAATGCAAATTGCGCTAAACTCGATCTCGGTCGAGAAGCATGGGTGTGACAGTACTACATCTTTTATAATAATTCTTATTCTAAGCGAATAAGTAAATAATATATAAGACAAACAACACGTAGTCTGCCATACGCAGGAAGACCCGCTGAACTGAAGCATCTCATTAAGCGGAGGAAAAGAAACTAACTAGGATTCCCTTAGTAAAGGCGATCGAAAAGGGAACAGCCCAACGTCTTAATCCCGCAAGGGAAATGTAGTCGGTTCACCTATTGCACTGGTCTAAGTCAGATGGAATGCTGCGCGATTCAGAGTAAAAGCCTCGTATGACCAACCGCAAGCTTACGATGGACCGGGGAGAGTCGGATACTTTGAGAGTAGTGTCTTAAGGGGGTGGTATGTCCCATCCAAGGCTAAATAACGTGAGGAGACCGATAGATTACAAGTAGTGTGAACGAAAGATGAAAAGAACTCTAAAACAGAGGGTGAAAAGTTCCTGAACTTGCTTAGGGTTAAGGCTATTTATAGTACCCGTCTTGAAACACGGATTAGGGAGTTTATCTGTAGTGCGAGTCTTTGCACGTTAACTGTAAAGGCGTAGAGAAAGCAACTGGCGTTTGCATGGCTACTGAGCATTACTGATAGGACCCGAAAGGTGGTGAACTTTGCCTGCACAGGTTGAAGTCAGGGGAAACTCTGATGGAGGACCGTACGGGTTATTGATGTGCAAATCATTTTTCTGATGTAGGTAAAGGTGCGAAAGACTCATCGAACCACCTAATAGCTGGTTTCCTCCGAAGTTTCCCTCAGGATAGCTGTAATGCATTTAGTTAAGGGGAGTAGAGATATGGGTAGAGGTGCAGGGAGCCTTCGGGTTCTCAACTTATTTCCAAACTTCGAACCTCCTTGTTAGGCATTTACCTAACTGGAAATGCTTAAATGAATTAGCGTTACAAGTGGGCTCTGACCGGTAAGCGGTCATGGCGAAATGGGATGAACCATACGTCTGAATAAGGTGCCGAAATGTACTATCACTGATACCATAAAGGGAGTCCATGTATTTAGACAGCAGGTCGGTGCCCCTAAAAGCAGGTATCCGCTAAAGAGTGTGTTAAAACTCACCTGCCGAATACTAGGGCCCCGAAAATGAATGGCGCATATAGTACTACCGATCTCAGACATCAGTTCTATTGAACTGAGAGTAGGGGGATGTGGACATTTTTGTGAAGGTGCAATGTGAGTTGGACTGGAAGAATGTCTATTACAGATCCTAATTGAAGTAGCGATTATCCAGGCTTGTATCCTGGGGGCTGATGAGGAGTAGGGTTTCTGGACAACTTAAACAGATCCAGAGTTAGTCGATCCTAATCTCAATAATGGGAGAAAGGGAGTACAGTTGATATTCTGTAACTGACAACAGTTCGCGGCAACGCATACTATTTTTCTCCGCCAATCTTATACCGTTGGTAGGGATCTCTTTCCTACATGACAGTACTAATACCCAGGGAAACTGGTCATCAGGCGAACTGCGGCGTTCTGCTGGCAAAACATAGCTTCGGTTATGTCAATGGCTATTGGATTGGTCCATGAAGCGAAAAATAGTTTACTGTGTCACTCGTACCGATAACCGCATCAGGTCTTCTAGGTAAGTAGCCTATGGCCATTGAGGCATGATAGTTCAGGGAATTCGGCCAATTAGAGCTGTAACTTCGGGATAAAGCTTGGCTCTGATGAAAATCAGAACCGATTGTTACGCGGAGAGCCCAACTGTTTAATAAAAACGTAGTGTCGCGCTGTGGTAGTATAGCCAGTGAACGCGACATGAATCCTGCTCAGTGCTGTGTCTGTTAATATGGTTCAAGCCAACGAAGCACCGGTAAATAGCTGGGGTAACTATGACTCTTATCAAAGTAGCGAAATACCTCGTCACTTAATTAGTGACCTGCATGAACGGAGCTATGAGGTTCTCACTGTCCCAAACTGTCTCTCAGCGAACCAACTGTAGTGGGAACGGTCACTAGATATCCAGCGGGGAAAGAAGACCCTGTAGAGCTTCACTTTGGTCTAGTCTTGTATAGTTCCTGCGGGGGTGTAGACTAGGTGGGAGAGCAATCGATTCTGAAAAACCACTACCCTGTTTGGAATTATGCTTACCTATCACAAGGAATAGGACTAGATAGAAAGTTTGGCTGGGGCGGCACACCTTCGAAAGAGCAGCGAAGGTGTCCTAAGTTGAGCTCAGTGAGGACAGAAATCTCACGTTGAGGATAAGGCCAAAAGCTCAATTTACTGTGCCTTTTTGTACTAGGATCAGTTACGAAAGTAAGGCCTAACGATCCCTAAATAGCCTCAGGTGCGTGAGGATTGGGGTGACAGACAAGTTACCTCCGGGACAACTGGCTTGTGGCTGCTAAGAGATCAAATCAACGCAGCTTTTTGATTCTTCGATGTCGGCTCTTCCTATCCTAGTGATGTACAAGTTGCTAAGGGTCGGATTGTTCACCCGTATTAGGGATCGTGAGCTGGGTTTAGACCGTCGTGAGCCAGGTTTGTTTTATCCTACTGGATATAGCATCATGATAGTAGATTGATTTAGTACGAGAGGAACTGTTGATTATGGCCTCTGGTTAGCGATTATCGGAAACGGTATGTCGCGCAGCTACGCCGTCTGGGATAATGGCTGAAAGCCTCTTAAGCCAGAAGCCCATCTAGAAAGTGATGCACGTGATGTTGGACCGATACGAATAATCATACTCAAAAGGTCCGCTTCATAGGTAACCCAATGTAGAAGACATTGTGTGAACGAAGGTACTGTAAGCAGTGGAGTGGCATTACGTCCACGACCTGTTGAGGTTCAGCTTCGCTTCTAGGTTTCCAAATATTTTGGATTTTTTTCAAGTGTAAGTGTCACTTTTATATCCACGGGCCGCTATATGAGCATCAAATATACTAACTAAAAATACAATAATCATATAGGAATGAAAAAAGATATTAAAGCGAAAACTCAAAAAACAAATACTTAAGTATATAGGCTAACTAATACACATACTAAGCTTATAAGTTTGGACTGAAGGTATATCTAAAAAAAACATATATCAAGTAACATAGTATTAAGCGTATATATATGGAGTGTCACGTTTATATCCACGGGCCGCTTTGGTAGTCTTCCTAGCAAAATCCATAAAGTCGAAGGGAAACTAATCTAAGTCTCCTATCAAAGTCTATCAAAAATTTTTAAGATGATAGGACGAAAAACTATGTGATTTAGTTTCGTCGGTAAAACCAAAAAATTCGCCCTAAAGATATACGTAAGATATATACTATTCCCTATAACTAAGATATATATACATATAACATATATGATTAGTGCTTCGTATAACATTACAAATGATTCTCGAAAAAAATCGATTTTCAAAAATTTGACACAAAATGCATTATATCTCAGTGAATACTTAAGCTATCGAAATGAAACAAACATAAATCACACAGCTATACTATACCCTATCTATCTGTATCTTCAAAGTTTTTGTGCACTTAAGTCTCACTGTTTCGATTTATGCGTGTGGAACGAAAAATTAAAAAAATCGAAAAAAATCAAAGTCCATGATCAGCGAGAAAATTTTTAACAACATAAGCAATTTTTAAAATCTTTTACATATAAATACCATACGATATATGTATACATTTGAGCATGGTGAGACATCTCAGTTCCATAGTCACTCCATATGAAAATGAAAAAATTTACAAATTTTTTCCTAGGGGGGTGAATTTACCTAGAAGTCCACACACATAAGAGATGGAAAGGAGCAACTGAGGATAAAGTTATCGTATGTTGTACCCCATATATGTCTATCTTGCAAGAAAGTTCGTATGTTGAGTATTCGCCGAGAAAGTTGAAAAATACAAAAAAATTGATTTTTCAAAAACACGCTGAAATGAGCGAGGGAAAAAAATAATGAAAAGATTGAAGTCATATTCGATGGTTTTAAGAGATACGAAATTATTTTGGAAATATAATATCTACACATAAGTAGTATAATGTTACTACGTTTGTAGTTTTTCGTTTTAGCACACTTTACCATATACTTTTGAAAATCAGATAATTATTTTTTATTCAAATAGTTGTCGTAGGTGGGCACATGTACGGAGTTATAATCATAACTCCCCATGCTCCACAACATTGCCCATACAAAGTTTGCTCGGGGACGCTTGTGTATGAGCAAGACGAAAAAATACCTGAAACTCGACTCCACCGATTGAATTTTTGTAGACCGAAAAACATGACCTTTTGCTCCCTATGGGAAAGTTGCAAAACGATTCCAGTTATGAGTAAGCATTTCTTACTAAATCTAGCCGAGTCTGGTATATAACAACAGGGAGAATCACCTCCAGACGGCTGACGAGTTAATATGTTACATATTGATTCTGTCTTAGATGTGCGAAATTACAGCACGCGCTTATTTATAATTTGGCATTAAACTTTCGATGACTTCGCGTCATCATGTATTATGGATATTTCAGTGGCATCATAACAAGATACATTGGAAAAACATCTTAATACATCTTTTTTAATCGCGATACTTGGTTGATCCTGCCAAGGAAGCACACTTAGGTCATAGATTAAGCCATGCAAGTGTTAGTTCAGGTAACGAAACTGCGAATAGCTCATTAATACGCTCAGAATCTATTTGGCGGCGACCAACAGGTCTTAAATGGATAGCAGCAGCAACTCTGGTGCTAATACATGCGATTGTTTCTCCAGATGTGAATTATGGAGGAAAAGTTGACCTCATCAGAGGCACGCCATTCGACTGAGTGACCTATCAGCTTGTACTTAGGGTCTTTACCTAGGTAGGCTATCACGGGTAACGGGCGGTTACCGTCGGACTGCCGGAGAAGGCGCCTGAGAGATAGCGACTATATCCACGGGTAGCAGCAGGCGCGAAACTTTCCCACTCGAGACTTTCGGAGGAGGTAATGACCAGTTCCATTGGTGCCTTTTGGTACTGTGGATAGGGGTACGGTTTTCCACCGTACCGAAACCTAGCAGAGGGCCAGTCTGGTGCCAGCAGCTGCGGTAATTCCAGCTCTGCGAGTTTGCTCCCATATTGTTGCAGTTAAAACGCCCGTAGTCTGAATTGGCCAGCAATGGTCGTACGTATTTTTACGTTCACTGTGAACAAATCAGGACGCTTAGAGTATGGCCACATGAATGACTCAGCGCAGTATGAAGTCTTTGTTTTCTTCCGAAAACAAGCTCAATGAGAGCCATCGGGGGTAGATCTATCTCATGACGAGTGGTGGAATACTTTGACTCATGAGAGAGAAGCTGAGGCGAAGGCGTCTACCTAGAGGGTTTCTGTCGATCAAGGGCGAGAGTAGGAGTATCCAACAGGATTAGAGACCCTGGTAGTTCCTACCTTAAACGATGCCGACAGGAGTTTGTCATTTGTTAATGGCAGAATCTTTGGAGAAATCATAGTTCTTGGGCTCTGGGGGAACTACGACCGCAAGGCTGAAACTTGAAGGAATTGACGGAAGGGCACACCAGGGGTGGAGCCTGTGGCTTAATTTGAATCAACACGGGGAAACTTACCAGGACCAGATGTTTTTTATGACTGACAGGCTTCGGGTCTTTCAGGATATTGTTTTTGGTGGTGCATGGCCGTTGGTGGTGCGTGGGTTGACCTGTCTAGCGTTGATTCAGCTAACGAGCGAGATTATCGCCAATTATTTACTTTGCCGAAGTCCTTCGGTTAAAGTTCTAATTGGGACTCCCTGCGATTTTAGCAGGTGGAAGAGGGTAGCAATAACAGGTCCGTGATGCCCTTTAGATGCTCTGGGCTGCACGCGTGCTACAATGTTAGGATCAATAGGACTGCGAGCCTGAGAGGGTGCGCTACTCTTATAATCCCTAACGTAGTTGGGATTGACGTTTGTAATCAGCGTCATGAACCAGGAATCCCTTGTAAATGTGTGTCAACAACGCACGTTGAATACGTCCCTGCCCTTTGTACACACCGCCCGTCGCTCCTACCGATTGGATGACTCGGTGAAATCACCGGATGCTTACGAGCAGAAAGTGATTAAATCACGTTATCTAGAGGAAGGAGAAGTCGTAACAAGGTAAGCGGTAGGTGAACCTGCGTTGGATCAGTTCTAGTTTTAATAACTAACACCAACTTCTTTTATTAAACAAAAACCAATACAAAATTAAAAACTAACTTCATCAAAAACCAAGTCTCTAAGCAATGGATGTCTTGGCTCCTCACACGATGAAGAACGTGGCATAATGTGTTAAGTAACCGGAGTTGCAAACATCATGACAGGTTAATCTTTGAATGCAAATTGCGCTAAACTCGATCTCGGTCGAGAAGCATGGGTGTGACAGTATACATCTTTTATAATAATTCTTATTCTAAGCGAATAAGTAAATAATATATAAGACAAACAACACGTAGTCTGCCATACGCAGGAAGACCCGCTGAACTGAAGCATCTCATTAAGCGGAGGAAAAGAAACTAACTAGGATTCCCTTAGTAAAGGCGATCGAAAAGGGAACAGCCCAACGTCTTAATCCCGCAAGGGAAATGTAGTCGGTTCACCTATTGCACTGGTCTAAGTCAGATGGAATGCTGCGCGATTCAGAGTAAAAGCCTCGTATGACCAACCGCAAGCTTACGATGGACCGGGGAGAGTCGGATACTTTGAGAGTAGTGTCTTAAGGGGGTGGTATGTCCCATCCAAGGCTAAATAACGTGAGGAGACCGATAGATTACAAGTAGTGTGAACGAAAGATGAAAAGAACTCTAAAACAGAGGGTGAAAAGTTCCTGAACTTGCTTAGGGTTAAGGCTATTTATAGTACCCGTCTTGAAACACGGATTAGGGAGTTTATCTGTAGTGCGAGTCTTTGCACGTTAACTGTAAAGGCGTAGAGAAAGCAACTGGCGTTTGCATGGCTACTGAGCATTACTGATAGGACCCGAAAGGTGGTGAACTTTGCCTGCACAGGTTGAAGTCAGGGGAAACTCTGATGGAGGACGTACGGGTTATTGATGTGCAAATCATTTTTCTGATGTAGGTAAAGGTGCGAAAGACTCATCGAACCACCTAATAGCTGGTTTCCTCCGAAGTTTCCCTCAGGATAGCTGTAATGCATTTAGTTAAGGGAGTAGAGATATGGGTAGAGGTGCAGGGAGCCTTCGGGTTCTCAACTTATTTCCAAACTTCGAACCTCCTTGTTAGGCATTTACCTAACTGGAAATGCTTAAATGAATTAGCGTTACAAGTGGGCTCTGACCGGTAAGCGGTCATGGCGAAATGGGATGAACCATACGTCTGAATAAGGTGCCGAAATGTACTATCACTGATACCATAAAGGGAGTCCATGTATTTAGACAGCAGGTCGGTGCCCCTAAAAGCAGGTATCCGCTAAAGAGTGTGTTAAAACTCACCTGCCGAATACTAGGGCCCCGAAAATGAATGGCGCATATAGTACTACCGATCTCAGACATCAGTTCTATTGAACTGAGAGTAGGGGGATGTGGACATTTTTGTGAAGGTGCAATGTGAGTTGGACTGGAAGAATGTCTATTACAGATCCTAATTGAAGTAGCGATTATCCAGGCTTGTATCCTGGGGGCTGATGAGGAGTAGGGTTTCTGGACAACTTAAACAGATCCAGAGTTAGTCGATCCTAATCTCAATAATGGGAGAAAGGGAGTACAGTTGATATTCTGTAACTGACAACAGTTCGCGGCAACGCATACTATTTTCTCCGCCAATCTTATACGTTGGTAGGGATCTCTTTCCTACATGACAGTACTAATACCAGGGGAACTGGTCATCAGGCGAACTGCGGCGTTCTGCTGGCAAAACATAGC